GCTGTCCTGGGTTTGTAGGTGTAAGCGTAGCAGTGATGGCTTAGCAGATGCTCATGCAAAGTTTCAGTGACTGTAGCAGAATGACGAGTTCCTACAGAGGGGACTAAACTGTGCAGAACCAGAAGCCTCTGCATCTTTTCCTTCGTTCTTGGGTACTCTGTCCAGAGCAGGATTACGTCTTTACTGTGACTAGTAAAAGATAATGCCAGTATCCACAGCTGCATGCTGTCATACAAAATCTGAACCACGTATAGTTATCCTATATTTTGAAATTTTAGAGGTAAAACTTTGACCTGCTCCTGTTTTTTTTATTATATGAAAATAGGATTTCATCTTGCCACTCAAAAAGGCATGATCTGTCCTTTTTTTTTTTTTTTTCTCTCTTGGCTGGAAAGATTATGCTATTAAAAGTTTCAAGCAACGTAGTACTACAACAGAAAGCAGGCTATTGCTGTGTGCAGCCTGTGCAACTAGTTTTCTGTTCCTTATACGGTCAAAATTGTTTGTACCCTCCATGTGTTTGGATGTATGTTGCCCTGTTTTAAAACTCATCAGAAGTCTGCTGTATTCCTATGTACGAGGGGTCAGGACACACTCTGCTTTCTGCATAAACATTTTTGGGCATGAGAGTGAAAAAGAAACTCAATTTAGTCAGCCAGATTGAAAAAAGAAGGATCTGGGAGAGAAACAAGAGTCATTTTAAAGACCAGTTTTCTTCAATGTGTCCTAAATTTTAATTTATCTGTAAAATTGCACCAGAAGAAAAACAAATTTTGCATTTATAACCCAAACCAGAAGCAAGTATAAGAAAAATCACAGACCTGCAAACTCACGGTTATGCTGTTAAGGGAGATTGAGAAAACTTAAGTTTTAGTGGAGGTAAAAGACATGCCCATCTGTTGAAATGTAATTCATGCCAACTCTTGCAACTTTTCTGGGAGCTTCTTTGGTAGAAGGAAAGGGATTGGATTCAAGCCTCCTGCTGAGGCCGAGTGACTGGTGAGGCTGGGGGAGCCCCCATGCCTCCTGAACGGGTTCGAAGATATGCCGTTGCAGTGGGATGACAGCTTCAAGGGACTGGGTTGTTTGAAATAGTGAGAGTTTCGCTTTCCAATTTGGGTTATAGTATGTACTTTGTGTAGCCAAATATTGTAGTGGATTATTTGTCTTTAGAAACTGGTCAGGTTTGCTAATTTCAGATACAGGTTTAGATAAGAAGAAAGTTTGAGGTGTCAGCGATAAAATTATAATTACTCTTTGCAGGCCACTTAAAGCCACTAAAATTGTTGCTTAGTTCTCGAGGTGTAAACATAAGATTATAAACTGAGTCTCATCAATTTTGTGGTAACAGATATTCTCCCTTGTTGTGGAATTTTGTGTCAAAATATTCAATTTACAACCAAAGTCTTAATCTAACATTAGGTTTCTGAGGATGATATTACCAAGTTAATAGAGGTTAAATCTAACTGAAGGAGGCTTCCCGAGTCTGTTGAAGGCCCTAAGCAGTAACTGCTGTTTCTGCTCATCTCAGCAGGCTATACTGGCTCTGATAGCTGAAGTTTGCACTTTCAGAGTCACCCCTCGAGCCAAAATATCTACTTAATGTACTGCTAAAATGAAAGTGTATTCTTTTTCATAGATTCAAAAGCCACTGATATTCCCTAACTGGTTTCTAAAACCTTGGCTTTTTCTTCTGCATCTCCATGGTTAATTTTTTACTTTGCATTTTGAAATTGTCTTCAAATGTGAAGCAGCATAGTGAAAGAGTGTGTATATTAAAAAGAAACAGCTTTCCTCCCTGACTCGCTCAGGAGTATGTTGCTATATCTTCCTTTTTAAAAATATCAGTCATTTAAAATTGTACCAGTTCGTTGGCTCTAAACTGACCTGAGCATTTGACTGTATCCTAACCTGGTGTACGTAGGGCCTGGACCATAAATTACCCTTTGAAAGAATTCTGCTGAGCTTGGTCTGCAGAGCTTGTTCGCTTCCTCACGGTGTGCTACTTGTGGTTAATTAATGGATTTGCAACTTATGAGCATGTCATTGCTGCAGAGGTATCTTCTGCTACTGTACCTTAACCATTAGTCCTCTTCAGACAGTACCAGGCTCGAGAGCGATCTAGCCCCTGGGAGTAACCCTTGAGCTTTTCCCTCCACACAAGCACCTGGCTCATAGCTGTCCCAGGGAGATTACAGGGCAGGATGCCCCTCAGTTTTAGCACTGCAGAAATCTGAACACACTGGGAATATACATGAGTATGGTGGGATTGTGAGAAAACCCGTCTCTCCTTTCTGAGCGTTTAAGGGAGAGTCGTATAGAGACCTTGGAGGGAGCAAAGCCTCACTGCTGAGCTCAGAGTGGTCATTTTAGAAATAGCAGGTCCTTCTGGTCAGCTGCAATTTGATCTGTGCTGGCTCAGCTAACTTGGGTTAGAGCATGACTGCGTAAAAAATGAAGTTTTTATATGCACCTGGGATTGGGGTGGGAGCAACACTCCAATTCTAATATAACCGCGCTTAGAAATCGGGCACATCTTCTTGAGGCCAGGCTTGTGTCAGGGGACAAAGCCTGCTGGTTGTTTGTTGCTAAAGCTCGAGGTGGAGCAAGGCGAAGGCAGGCTGAATATTGGGAGAAAAGCGACCATCCACCCAGTTAGGCCACGGGACAGGGAAGGGTTGGGGGGGACGACAGGGCTGGTGCAGGCGGCGCGGTCACCCTGCTGTGCCGCAGGGGCATGGGCAGGCGGTCCAGCCCGCAGGGGACACGGCAAGGGCGCTAATTCCACAGCGGTGTCTTCGCCGCCTGAGAAAAACGTGAAATCCTCTCCAGCCATCCTTGGTGTTTCAAGTGGCCGTTACAAATCTGAACTGGGGTAACAGCGCAGCTAGCCCCACCGCAAGCTTTGCTTGTACCTTATTTTAGTTACGCTTTCCGGAGGAAATGTGGTCTTTGTAATATCAAATGAAATTTTAAATAGCCTCATTTAAAGATTAATAGTTCATTTCATTTATAAATAAGCTTTAAATAAGGAAATATGCTTAAAATTAAAAAGAAAAATTTTGGTCAGGGCTTGATGGTGAAAAATACTCTACTCCTTGTTCTTTTTTCCTGACAGAGTTCCCTTTTTTTCTTTTTTCAACTTAGCTCAAAGTTAATAGAGCTGTCGATTTCCTCAGAGCCATCATACAGTAATTTAATGGCTTGTACTCCTGAGCTTGGAAGACCTTTGTAAGAGTTTTAGCTCTGGAGCTTCAACAGATTAAACAAATGGGAATGATAGAGCTTATCCTGTTCAGCTGTAAATCTTTAAATCTGACTTTAGAGAGCATGTGCTGCCCATGGTATAATGAGGAATTGGGACAGTTCGCAATCCTCCAAAAGCAGTGACCACTTTATATTCCCACTGGCACAACAGGGTTTTGTTTTGCAACCATCGTTCTGTCTTTCACACATGGGTTCACCCAGCTGAAAACCACTTTCTTGCCCCCCAAACCATCTGTTATTAAGCATGTCCATGCTGCTGGGCTTAGACAAGACAGCACTTTGGTATGGAACAGTTGGGTGTTTGGCAGAAAGTTCATATGTCAGATTCGTTAAAGTTTTTAAGGGATAATTACATCTTTAGGAATTACTGATTGCTATAAAGGCACATCACTAGGGATGTTGAGGTACTTTTTAAATAGGTGTGCTGTAATCTAAATAAAACAAGGAATCAGTTGAGCGAGTGACAAAATATTATGCACTTTTTATTTTAATTAGGGATGCTAAAATAAAGGTGTTAGCAGTTTCAGGAGACAGATGAGCATTCTGGTAACCCTGATCTGTTTTTCATTCTCAAAGCGATTGTAAGGAATGTAACGAGTATTCATTAATTCATCCTCATAGGTAAACTCAGGAAGTGTGCATTAGATGAGTGGACGGTGAGTGGATTGAGAACTGACTGGATGGCCGAGCTCAGAGGGTTGTGATCAGTGGCACAGAGTCTAATTGGAGCTAACGGTGTCCCCCAGGGGTCAGTCCTGGGTCCAGTCTTGTTCAGTGTATTCATCAATGACCTGGAGGAAGGGACAGAGTGCACCCTCAGCAAGTTTGCTGATGATACAGAACTGGGGGGAGTGGCTGACACACCAGAAGGCTGTGCTGCCAGTCAGAGGGACCTGGACAGGCTGGAGAGGTGGGCGGAGAGGAACCTCCTGAAGGTCAACAAAGGCAAGTGCAGGGTCCTGCACCTAGGCAGGAATAACCCCAGGCAGCAGTCCAGGCTGGGGGTTGACCTGCTGGAAAGCAGCTCTGCTGAGAAGGACCTGGGAGTGCTG